TGATTATTCTAAAATAATTTTAAAATAATTAATAAACCCACAATTATCAAATCTATTAATAATTTTATAATTATAAATTGTGTTGTTCGAATATAGAACTTATATTACATTACACATGTATGATCGATGTAATTATCTCGATATGCAAGTGTAATTATTTACACAATATAAATGGTGATATTATATGAGCATACAAAATTGCATTTAATTATATATATAAATTACAAAAAGTGTGACAATAAGTCAAAGTTACAAAACATACTAAACACCTTGTTAGTAATAAATAATCTTGTATTCTTTGTGATATATATTTTATAGAAATATTTTAATAAAAGATTATATTTAGCACCGTTTTAAGACATTTTTATGACTGTAATTTTACGTTAATAACTTACGTTAATAATTTAGTCACAATGCCTCGTACCTTATGACTGTAATTTTACATTAATAATTTACGTTAATAATTTAGTCACAATGCCTCGTACCTTTTTATTCAAAAAAACTTCTTTATACACTAAAGAAAGCTTCCTTTTAGTGGACGCTTATACCATTGGCAAAGTAGAAGATAACGCTCTAAGCACAATTCCGAAAGAAACTATGCGATAACTCAAACTTCTCAAATCTAACGGAAGTGCACTGACAATATGCGTGAGAATATCACAGAAGGTACTAAAAGAAATATTGCAAACTCTTGACTGAGATTCGCCTAAATTCGGAATCGAATAGCGCGAACTTTGTTACAATCGCAGTTTTGGTGATTTATTGCGAATACGAGCTGTAGCGTGAGAATTCGCAAAAAAAAAACCGAGGAAACTAGAAAAAAAAAAAGGCTATATCGAAGCTCGGCAAACCAACAAATGCGTTGGCAGGTTTCCGTGCGAGAAATTCGCATAGCAGCAAAGCGTATCACGCGATGTCAATTCTGCAGGATTGGATTAATGAAAAATACCCGTCGATTGTCAGAGAGATAACTCAGATAATCACAAATTGCGTCCACTGAAATTAGCACTTTGGTACCAAAAGCGCTTGTATCTCGTTTATGAAAATGACATTTGCACGTGGTGTGAATTACAATTAAATTTCTCGTGAATAAAAGCTTCTCTTCTAGATATGACGCTTATACAGATGTGTGCGCAAACATGGAATTTACAGAGAATTATCTTCTTACTGAATTTGTATAATAGAAATATCCAAAAGTTACTAATTACGCGTTAATATCATCCATTTTGAAAACAGATTTGGTATAACCGCGAGCAGCTTACTCGTATAGAAATACCACTTCAAAATTTACTAGACTACTCGCAACTTTACTCATATCTACCTTGCACGTCTATCGATTAGGGAGGGTAAACAGAATTTATGTAATACGAGTATTCTCTTTACAGAATATTCTCTTTACAGAATAATGTTTGCGGATACGCCCCCGTCCGTCGTATCAACCGAGTCCGACAAACAGAATTTGTTTAAAATAAAAACATAAGATATGTATACCCAACAGATAATGGTTCACCTTTGCTTCTGAACCGTAAACCGTTTCTTTTTTTGCACTTGCCATAATCGCGTGCTTGCAATCGATATCACGAGCGAGTTAATATTCGCGAATTGAATGCGAGTTCATTAAAATGAGGCGCAGGTAAAACCTCAATAATATCCCAACGTATTTACGCATTTCGCAATGATTATTAATGATTATTACGAACGTGCGTGCACTGATTGCATAGTGGATTTATTTCAATATATTTGAAGTTATACCGACAATAATCGGAATGAACGAGTAAATGAATTTTTCAAACCAGTCTCGGAGAATGTTGGTTTTCTACGCGAGGTGAAATATCAACGATTAGATGATAGTTGCGCTTAGGGTTATTTTCTGAATCACAATAAAAGTGTACATATGTACACTTTTTTTAAAAACATATGATAATGCAAGAACGGAAGGAGGAGGATAATTGTTTAGATATTTAGTCAAATAAAATCTCTATAACACAATATTTGATTGACAATTATTACTATAGAATATAATTTTATGAATATAAAATTTTAATTAATGACCAGAAACTGTATGACCTTAAAAAGAGTATCTATGATTGGTAACCCTAGATCCACCGTATAATAAACGTAGCACACGGATGGTTACGCTATATTAATAACCGAAAGAAGATTACTAGTTAATGCGTGTGCGTGTATGCGTATCTCCTATATGCAGCAGGAAATGGACGTATTGTTAATAACGTGGGTGGTGCTGAATTCGCGGATAACACCTGGCTCGATGCTAAAGGCATCATTAATATGCCATGTAGGAGATAAGCGCGTAGTTAACATACCGATGGTGATAGTAAACTTGCATTTAACACTTCGCTATGGAAGTGAACGTATGGTTAATACATCATCGAGCACGTGTATATCCGGTTAGCGCTAAGATGTTCGCGATACATAATTCGCGTCACATGAGTTATTGTTAGCGCTTAACGTATATTGCGCTCGATTCTCTCAAACTGCTAATTAATTGTAAGTTATAAATTATTCCAGTGGATTATCGTGTTAAGAGGTAATGACAACTAATATTAACAATTAGGAAATTCTATCCTAGGCTCGATACAAAAAGTTTAATAAAGATATATTCCATTAATTTTTTAATATTTAATATAAAATGTTTCTAGAACCAAGTTCTCGTATAATTAAAGATTTTTTAATGAAAAGTCTGCTTAAAGTTAAATAAAAAATGATACTTCGTCATCTGTAGATAATGTTACAAGATTTTCATATTTTTCGTTACTTTTATTTTACGAACAATCGCTATTTAGGTTTCCGTAGAAGAATTGTCTCTTTTGGGGAGTATGTAAGATTCCTAGATAAAAACAGCCATAGTGAGAATCTGGTGCACGCTGTATACGCCATTTAAGGAGAACACGTTGTCAGAATATATCAAGAAATCGATTTCTCTTACATATTCTTGAATAGTAAGTATATGCAAATGCAGTTTTTGCCTATTCTAACAACGTGTTTCCTGTAATACGCTTCGATCCTACAATGCAACCTTTCAAATGTAACAAATTCTACGTCGCGACGATGCTTCATGTTGCTCGTAAATGTCCAATTGTTAAGATTTATTAACGAGAGTATAGACAGTTTCCCTGTAACTTGAAAATGTGTTTGACCGAATAATCATCGGTGAAATGTAGCTGGACCAATGTAGTATTCAGTATCTTTGCAAAGGACATATCGATCGCAAAGTGTTTGAGCCAATATAGATGATAAGGTCTCATTGGGGTAAGATCAATGGAATAGCAAAATGAGGGACGAAATAATTGAACAGTACAACAAGAGCTGGACGTGTAAACCTATAACGCGTGCAAAGTAATCTCGGATTAAACAATCGCTGACAAATCCAATCTGTAATGTAGATTAGAGAAAGAGAATAATCTAATTTTGAACTAATAATTATTAATGCTATTAAGAGTCCATGCAAACAAGTCTAAGAATAGATTAAGGAAGATCAAAAACTATTTACAAGAATTAACTTCAGTGACGTAAGTTTATTCCATCTGAACTACGATTTATGTTGAAACTTTGGAGTCTGTAATTGTGTTTGTATTGTGAACGATTCTACACTGTCATTGGATATCACGACTTACGTTCGCGTTTCTATCAATTTGTCTCTATTTATGTACATTAACTTCAATCCTCATGGTTTAACTTACTTTTATCATTTTCTAAGTATTTGTGCTAAATAAATATCTTTTTCTAAGAATTAAAAAAAGATAATCTCGGTTAAACTTACTCCTTTTATTTCTTTTTAATTCTTAGAAAATGATAAAACAATAAAGTCTTAGAAAAAGAGAAAAAGTAAGTTAAACTGAAATTAAAATTAATCTACATTTTAATACAAATGAATATCACTCATAAATTTTTAGAGAAATCTATTTTTCACATCATACAACTTTTCTTAAGTAAAATTTGTCATAATTTATTACTTCATTGTATTCCTTGCTTCACAATGATACTATGTCAATGCTACTATAAGTGGTTTTTTCATTCTGTAAAGATTAATAAATATAAAATCGTCGAATAAAAATAAATCAAATATATTATATTATATTATATATAATAATACTCCAACAACCTCAATAACTTTTTAAATAATTTTCTTACACAAATTTTATATAGATAGGTAAGTACTTTCTAAATGTGTTTCGTGTTTAGTGTCGTTGTTATCTCTAATCCCACATTACTTCACTTAATCTCCAGCCCATTAGATGAGGTCTAAGACTCGATGCCATCTAGATGTAGAATGTACGCAGCTTTCCTAAGAAGTTTAAGTGCTATACTAAGGTAACACCGAACTTTGTAATTTCAGGTTAAAATATATCTGTTCCGCGCAACACAATTAGCAAGGAATATGCGGTTGCTGTATATGCGCGGAAAGTTAAGATTAATTTAAACTTATTGCCCTAGAAAGCTGCAAGTTTTTATTAGACACTGGGTTATCTCAAAAGTCGTAACAAATCTGTCAACTTGGCGAAATGAACTATCTTTAATAAGCTTTAATAAATATATTTTATTTTTATTCTAAAGATCTTTTTAAAGTAAGCGAGTTATTCAGATACGAGAACTACTCTTATCTATTTATACATATAGGTTGTTATATTTTCGAAGGCTTCAATTTTTCTAATAGTTTAAAAGAAAAAAACAGGTTACATATTTTAACGCCTTAGAAAAGGCAAGTACACGTTAACCGTCGCGTGTACAGCTCATGCATATGCTCGATACATATCTTTGGAGTTTTATACTTTTCTCTAGAGTTTTTCATTTCTATCATGTCCTATATCCCTGCTACTATCATAAGTCATGAGTCATTCGCTGATGCATCCACCTTACTAAGAGCTCTCTACCGATAACGTTGCGTGCATCTGGGCTGCGCAAAGTGTATCTCATTAAGTATCGGAAAGGCAAATCAATCCACTATAGTCTAAGAGTAAACCGCGCGTTACGATTTTCAGGTTTTTACTCGTGGCGCAATCCAGACACCGGCTCTTGGTTCATACAGGCACTCTGCGCAGAGCTGGACCTTCACGGACGTAGCCGCGATCTACTTACTATAATGACCTTCGTTAATCGCCGTGTCGCCATCGAGTATCAATCTTATGTGCCACAGAACGAGAAATTCCACGCGAAAAAGCAGATTCCGTCGATTGTCTCGATGTTGACCCGCCTTGTGTACTTCGCCGACAAACATGTAACAACATCGAACGATATTGACGATGGATCAAAGGAGATGAAAACCGCACTGAGAAAAAAGTTTGATAATAGCTATCGAATGACTTTTTTAAAGCATGTCCCAGTTAATGTCCTAGATTTGGAAGAAGAAGAACCGGCTTAAGTCAGTATCGCAAAACTATTAAAAAAAATATTAAAAATGGCGTCGTTTGCAAACGAACTATGAAATCCACCAATCGTCTATTAGTCAGCCATTTTTAATACCAATGAATGAATATCATGATTGGCTGAGACAGTCGACGCCAATCAGGACGCGGAACATCGGTTGCGCTTCTCTGATATCTAGGACTCTAATTGGTGCAATATTTAATAAGTAAAACCAAACACAATAATAGTAACTAATCGTTTAGTAATAATCACTAAATATTTAGAAAGCTAAAATTCTCAGTTAGTTAGTTCAATTAAACGATTTAGTACTTAAAACCAAATAATTTGATAATATGTATTAAATATTTGGTAATTATTATAAAATTATATGAAGAAGGTATTTCTAACTAATTTGATAATAATTACCAAATTATTTAGTAACTATTAATAAATAATTGTTACCAAATGTCGATATCCTCATGTTGTCATGCGCGCAACGCCACATTTGCCAGTTTTTTGAATAATAATTACTACCGTTACTACATTATTTGGTAACAAATGCCAAATTATTTTGTTTAAGATTACTAATAATTTGATTGTATTTATCATATGATTTTATAATAATCATCTAGCTTTGTTACCAATTTCCAAATTTTGGTAGTAATATGAACAAATTTTTTGATTATATTAACCGAACATTTAATTGAAACTATTTCACCAAAGCATTTGGTAATTGTCATCTAGGCTAGATTATTATAACTAATCATTTTTTTCAGTGCGAGGTCTATAAAAGTAATGCAACAAATTTGTTCTCGAACAAACTTACGGTGATAGATTCTCCGACAAAACCGACAAATTGATTTCAGTCGAGTTGCTTTGATGTATCGAACTTTTTAAAAAGTGACTATTGATCGACGCAACTCATCGAACACGTTCGTTACGCGATTGAGTTTCACTGTCCTATAAAAAATTTAAGAATTTAATATACGAAAAGGAAAACGAAAGAGAAAAATAGATTGTTTGTATTTATAAGAAAGAACATCTACAAAGAAAGGTTTTGCTAAAATATAAAATGACGCATGATATACTATTTAGTTAAAAAATTTACATTTATTACATTTTTAACAAAATTAATAAAAAGATTTTAGTACAGAATTAAATATCAAAATCTAAAAACTTGATAATTAAATGGTATAATAATTCAAGTGTCACTAAAAATTTAGCTACATACAGATCCAAAAATAATTGTTAAACCATCAAAATAATTATGTATAATAGAATGCTCAAACTGGTTTCTAGAATTTCAAAATTTTTTTAATTGTTCTAGGTTTTCAGAAAATATAGAGCAAAATTTTTAACTTTTTTATTATGATAGCAAAAAACTTTTTAACTCAAATATTACAATGTTTATTTAATAAATTACAAACAAAAAGTTGAAATAGATAGCAATTAATTTTCACGCGATAGCTAATTATTCGTAAATAAAATTTTCTTTTGTTTTACTTACCGATACATTACGATTGATACGTTAAGATGTATAACTAATTTGCTCCTTGCATGACCGTCCTACATAATTATATCCATAACTCAACAAGATTTGTATTTTTAGCTAAATTTTAGATACTTTGGTGAAAGTGTTCTTTGTGTGTAGCAAAAAATGATCTGTTTTTAAATATTATTTTACTAAAAAAGAAAGCGATAAACATTTTCATATATCTATATTGTAATAAAAAATTTAATTAAATACTTTTAACTGAGGTTATTTTATACATTGATATGTAAAATTCAATTTCGTTTATATCCTTTACTTGAGTGAAATGTATAGTATCATTAAAATCTCATTAGTATTATAATATTATTATTAAAACAATAAAGAGAAAAAATATAGTAGACTGCTGAATTGGTTAATATCTAAATAGCATTTACATATTCCTCTGTCCGTTTGCATTTACAAATGTGAATTCCTAAACAAATTACGAAATATTATGGAAATATCACGGAATACGCTTGATAACACTCAACAAAGTAAAATAAATCGCTAAAGCGCATTAAGCAATACGCCCTGAATTATTGTATTATAATTAGATTCATTATATTATTCTTAATTAGTATGCTAATTATGTGCAGATTTTCATAACGCTGTACAAGCCGTTATAACAAAAATAATAATGACTATCGTTCCTCACTCTATTTAAATTCGTCTCGACGTATTGATAGCAATGCTGCACTAACAAATAAAACAATACAAAGAAAGTTCCATTTACGAATAATTATAGTCAATAATTATAGCCAATCTTTCCTTATAAAAAATTAATTAGTATTATATTTTAAATCTCAGTCTGCAATCTCAGTCTTTTTAGCAACACAACTCTTTCAAACTATTTCCTCATTTTTATTAAATAAATTTCAATCTTTATTAAATAAATGATTCAACATTTGATTTTCAAAACTATTGGTAATGTAATAAAGATATTGAAAGGCCTAAATTTTTGCACATTTTTTGAAAACATAAAACAATTAAAATACTTGGACTGGATAAAAAAAAACAAAATTATAGGCGAAGAATTAAAATTTATTTGTCACAATCGACGTGTGATATACCAACAAATAAAACAATACCAAAAAATTCCATTAAAAATAGTTAATCAATATCTATTTATTTTAATCAATATCTTTTCTTATACAAAATTTAATTAGTATATTTTAAGATGGCACAATGTTAATTTAATAGTATTAGTATTTAAGAGAGCTATTAATTTAATTTACCATATCCATTTGAAATTTCTCGACTCTGGAAGGGATACGCGATACGAAAAATTCTTGAAACCCCGATCTAAATCTAATGGACGGGAATCGCTTAGTGTTTGCACGCGAGAAATCGGTAGGAACTAATTCTGTCCCCTTAATACATCCCTATATATTCGGTGAACCGACAGGGAAGATCCTAGGGTATATTAACCGCAATACGTGCGACTGCGATGGTATATTCAACGTCAGATTAGATACCTGTGGTCAAAGGAGTTAGACGCTATTAACCTTTGTCTTGGAAGACGCGAAGTGGAATCCACGAATTATGCCGTTAACCAGATGCTATCGCAAAATGTAATCTTCTCCGTGCTAGAGTAGATCGATCTGCGGCGATTATACAGACAGCTCGTATCCCCGACAGAAATCTCAGAGTCGCTTAATCGCCTTGTTAAATTTTGTTACGTGACTATGCGTTATAGATACTTTTATAACCAGTGAATATAAAGGAAATATATAGAAGTAATAAACGGTACTAACGAGTATAAACAGACATGCTATAGTATTGTAAATGTATATGTATTTCGAATTCATTTGTAAAAATTAAAATATTTTTTATGTTTTTTTAGATTTTATTTTCAAACGAATTCGTATAATATTTTGTATCACTTATATTTCGAACACGATAAAACATTTTTGAACATTACTAAAAATTGATACTGAAAGTCGATGCTACATCGTTTTATTTCAGCTCAATGAAATTCATATGTTTCGTTGTATTGACTATGAATAATACGAAAAATCATAAAATATACCCTGTTTTATCTTCAGTATCTTTTTTCCAATAAAATAGATTTGCTGTTAATTGACGGTATTATTGTATAACGTGCGAAGGGAAACAAAAATAAAAATATCAAAGAAAATAATATTCTTTTACAGCAGAGATGATTCTGTTTGTGACTTAAAACTGTAAAATACTTGTGAAATATCATGAAAGATTATGCTGTTTTATGTAATATGTTAGCTGGCAGAAAGTATTTTTAAAACAAAGACTTATAATGTGCCACCATTAATTCACTAATTTACTTTTTTTTCTATTATATACTTGGTTCGTGCATTTTTAATATTCAATTTCCTTCGCCATACATAGATTTAATCTCTTGTTTGAAACAGGAGATTAAAAAAGTTGCACAGTTAGTCTTTTTTTATATAATTAAACTACATATTTAATAAGAGATAAAATGTTTAATCAGAATCCATTTAAAATTTAAAACCATTAATATCAGAACATTTCTCTTATGTAACGGCAATAAACCTTCATCCTACTCTTTTCTAAAATATAAAATTCTAACACGTCTCTCGTCTAACATTCAGAATATAATCTATCACGGATCCTAAAATTATCGCTCGCAATTTGGAACTTCCGTTCGAGAGACGAACGTTCCACGTAAGAACAGTGAAGTGAAGAACAGGCGGTAAGAAGCCGATTCAATCACTGGCGCGAAAAAGAGGTCTAGCTGTCGAGAAAATTCTTCAAGCCGTTTTGACTTTCTGGCTGGTAATTCGAACGATTGCGAATCAATCCTATCTCCTGCTAAGTGGAGCTCTCAAAGAGCGAACCCTCGAAACTGTGTGGATGACTTGTCTAAAACGCGATCGAAAGGGATTTCGGTTTGGAAGGCCCTCTTGTCTCTTTATGGAGGCTCGTGGAGTACACTGCGTCAAGTAGAAACCACTTCGTTCGACGATCGCATCGTTGATCCGATCAATATGGATGCCAGAGTTGCGCGCGAAGTATGTACAACTCTGTACGTGAACGATAACGCCGCTTTGTACAATTCGAAACGTTCGATATTTTACAGCTTATTCACTGCCGAACAAGTACTAAGCTTCCTTTCGCGTATGTCGCGTTCCACGCATAATCGCGGTCTTTCTTCCTTACAGCAGTGAACCGTTGACTTTTCCTCATCTAAATATGCAAATAACATATGTATTATAAAACACCAACCGCTATGTGATTTTATAAAACGATTCGCGCAGAATGGAAGTGTATTTTACAGAAGAGATGCGTGAATATATTTACATGTACTATTCATTACGAAATCTCATAACTTTAAATATTTAAAAAAAGAACGTTCCAACTTCGATACTTCAATTCAAAATATCGTACACTGAAAAAAATGTCAACAGCATTAATAGAATTGAAGATAATGTTTTTTATTCAATATAATAATATTAATGAAACGAATAAAATGTTATTAAAACAAGAGC